TAGAAAATGATTTATGTCGATGATTCAAAGGCAGCATTTATCTATGGAAATAATTCTCCCATTTAACAATTAACATGAACCAGAGGATTTAATTTTCACATTTTATACCTTTATAAGTATCTATATATTTTTAAGCGGGGATGTTTTAAAGTTAAGAGGTCGCCGACATATACGGTAAGAGTTACAAAGAACAGGAAATTGTGGAGAGTTATGATCGCCAACGTCCTGAAGGGACACGTCACATATAAGAAGAATATATAAGATGCTATCTTAATAACTTTTATCTTCTATCTCTTTTCAGAAGAAATAGAGTCGGACGATAGGCGAACATGTCTACATCTGTTTTCCACTTTCTTGTTTTTCATCCACCTGCAGTTTTCAAAAATTTTTAAATTTAACGCCAATCGCCATCTTCGGTCTTTATGAACCATGTTCTTATATTGTCCTTTCTTCTCACTAAAGTCTTCTCATTCTCTTTCACTTTCAGTAACCCCGTCCTAGTGGCACTATCGTCTTACGTCTTAGTGGCTTAATTTTTAACAGAAATTTAAATTATAAATGATTAAGAAAAAAAAGAAAAAAAGAAGATAAAGTCTTCCGTTTAGTTTTTAATTCCAGCAACATTTAGGGGTCTACAGATCCTATTATTCGCAAATCCATGTCAGTAATATTTTCCTAAATGTAAATGTAAACAAAAAATGTTTTGTTTTTTTTGGGTTTTTTTTTTCAGGAAAAAAAGCACAGTCATTGAAAAAATAATCCATTACCCTCTCCTGGGGAGGTGCTGTCTGAGAAACAGATTGCCAAAATTGAAACCCAGGCAAAGTTTACATTGTAATTCAAACTGGACTTTAAGAAAAACAATAAATGCAGTAAATACATTTTAATGTGTAAATGTGATGGATATAAGAGACCATCATTTAAGAGAAACCCGGATATGAAAGAGAGATTAACTCTGGTTTGAAAATTAGAGCCTGTGTTAATGTATAAAAATCATTTAAACCCGGATATAAGAGACTTCTTTTCCGGTCCCGACAAACTCTCTTATATCCATTTTTGACTGTGATTTCAAATAGACAAGCAGGGACAATTATTTATTTATTTTATTTTTTTTTTTTTTTTTATGGGTTTTTTGTCGCCATCAATCCTCATTTCACCTCCTAATTTTATTTAATATTCAAATAAAATGCTTTGTCTCAGAATATTTCCCAGTCGAAACTCAGGAGTCGGAGAAAAAATTTCTAGATATTTAACAAGAGGGGAGGATGGAATAAAATTGACTTCATTGGATTTTCTTGGAAAAAAATTTATTTACTATTTATTATTGGAAGAACTTAAACAGGAGTAGATAGTTGCATTTGACATTCATCCCCTTGTCTTTAGAACAAGAATAGATGTTTATCACGTGTTTCCTGCATAGGGTTGGGTCTCAGGATCCTTCTAAAGTCTTTTTCATTCTCTTTCACTCCCAGTCACCCCTTGCGTCTTAGTGTCATTATCGCCTTGCTGGACTTGAATTGATTAAAAGCTAAAGAAATAAATAAGATAAAATAAAATTTCGACCCCGCCCGTCTATTTGGGATTCAAAGGTAGACGACGTCTGTCTGCATTGAAGAGGTTTTTTTTTTCCCATTTCAAGAATTTGCCCCCAAAAGAAACTTTTATTTTATGTTTTTTTCATAAAAAAATTTGATTTTTCCCTCCATTTCATTGGGTAATGTTCTGGAGGAAATTAAAATAACTTTGCACATTGGACGCTGGGTGAACTGGAGTAGAAAATACGTCTTATATTATTCTTTTTAAGCACGAAAACATGATAGTTTTGTGCAGACTCTCTCCAGACACCATCAACTGAATGTCTAGAATACACCCACATTAACAGTCACAAACTTATGTTCGTTCGCATTCCAGTTACTATGAAATTACACACAGCATGCGTAAAAGTTTTCTTTTTTTTTTTAAATCGTTGAAATAAATATTTTTTTTGGGGTATTTATTTTTTTTTTTTTTTTTTTCTTTACATTCCTCTTCCTGCTGATCTTATTTTGTACATTTTTTTAATTCTTTCTTTTTTTTCTTCCTTTTCAATTTCTTTCTCACTTTCTATTTTCTTTCTTTTTAATCCTCTTTTTTTTCTTCACTTATCTTCTTTCCTTTCCACCATCTTTTTTTCCCCACACCCATCTTTTCGTTTTATTCTGTCCCGTTTTATTTATTTACTTTTTTTTTTTTTAATTTCTTTCCTCCTGATGATTTTCAATTTCATTATATATATATATATACATATCTCTCTCTCTCTCTATTTATTTTGTGATACCAGATTAACTCGTAAAATAAATGGCGTGTTTTGATAGAATAATCCGAACTGCTGCTTTTATACTTACTTCATTAAAGAAGTAAAAAAAAAAGAATGCTCGCGCTAAGTACAAAGACAAACGCACGACGCACGATAGATAAATATTTAAAAGATAATTTCAGGATAACAAGTTTTCAAACAGCCTTTTTTAGACCATTTTATTTACAGATTTTATATATTAATTCTTCATAATCGGCCAAAAAACACCAGGATTTTCAAGGGATAATGTGATTGTGACTTTCTATTATTCTTTAGGTATTTTAAGTTTTATTACCGATCAACACATTTGATGTTTTCAAACGCAGAGAAAAGAACATGAAAATTACCCAAAAAAAGCGGTGAGGTTCCATCCTAACAAAAGTTTTAGACGAAAACGAAAGTGCCAACAAAATGAAGTACCGTATTTGACGGCATATAAGACGCATCCCAATTTCAGCAGGGCACATCAAAAAAAAATTAGTAATATTTAGTAAAATATTGAAAAATTTTTTTTTAAATGGTACAACAATTAGGCGATATTTATGACTTTTATCATTTTGGTTAATATTCAAAAATCATGATTACAATTAAATGAAAATAATAGGAAAAAAAAAGAACAAATTTTATATAAAAACATTAAAATATCCAAAGGTAAGAAAACAAAATAAAATCAAGCAATGTTTTAAAATTTAAGCAAAACGTTAAAGTCAAAATTAAAATTTAAAGTGGAACTTCAAATCTATAAAATTCGTTGTTTCGTTATCAAAACTCTGATATCTAATTTTCTACTTATCATTGTCGTTAAATAATGCGTCATCTAATTTCGGTTGACTATCACGAATTTTAAAACATATGGCATATAAGAATCAAGGATTTTTAAAAGTTATTTTCGTAAAAAAAAAAGAAAGAAAAAGGCAATATTTATGAATAAATTTGTCAAATACGGTAAATTTATTTCTCTTCAAAATTACACTAAATAGGGTCTCCAGTCCTCCGAAACAAGTTTTAAACAATAGAGAGAGAGCGAACATGGAGAAATGTACCCGTAATGAGGCGTAGTGTCAAAAGGACGGTTTTTCCTATGACACCGCTTTTATTTTAACTGCCTTCACTCCCCGGAAATGTTTATGTTTTTAACAAGCGGTGATTAAATTTGTAATAAGACCTAAATGTAATGACAGAAGTACGCAGGTGTAGGCTTTAAGAAAACTTTGTTCAACTGAGAATACAAGGTTCGCATATAGCGTCCTTTCATAGTCCCAGTAAACAGAAATAGCTCTCTCAAAGAGGAGAGTGGCAAAACAAGGGGAGACCACTCTTGATTATTCATAACACTAAACATACGAAAGTAAATTCATACATTTTATTTGTTCTTAAGAATTGATAAAAATACTAGCCTTTATTTGTTCAATAGATTACACTACTTATTTATTGGAATGGTTGATTGGTTGAATTCTCTTCTGAATTACGCGGGTTGATTGACAAATACGATATCTAATCCTATACACCAAATTTCAGACCATGCAGAATAATAAAACCGTTATCCACATCATCTTTAGACCAGAGATTGGTTGATTTAGTTTAGAGGCATATCAACACCTCTATGGGTTATCTAATTCTGAAATCTTAATATTTTGGACACATTTTTATGGCCTCAAATAAATATATTTTGAACGCAATTGCATGCTTCCCATTACATGTAAAATATATTATTGGTCATTTTGCTATAAAATGTAAAGGGTGTTCATTGGAACACCCTATACATTAGGGTGCCGATTTTAAATATGAATTAAGAGCCTAATGATTTTTTTCTTTTTCTTTCAGATTTGGCAGACATTTGGGCGGTATAATTTTTCACACACTTAAATAAGATGATCCAATATAGAAATAAATTTTCACCAATAACACTGATTTATTTACTGCTGACTTTGATCCGTCTTAATGAAACACCCTTTATATATAATCCGCCTTAATGAAACACTATTTATTACTGGTCATTTTGCTTGAAAAATGTATTGCTGGTCATTTTGATAAAGATATGTATTGTTCGTCATTTTACTATAAATAGGTATTGTTAGTCATTTTATTATAAATCAGTATTTTTATACTTTCATTTGGTTTTGTTTAGGGATTCACTATTTACCCTCAGCTGGAACCCCGTGTCAGGGTCGACCTGGGACCAACAGCAATCAAAAGGGGCTTCTACGTTGCTAAAAACCTCCAATCTCCCGATCAGGGGCCTTGCTACCGGAGGTAGTTTCATGCTCAGGACTATTTTTAGACCAGAAAAGTTAAAGAAAATAGTATAAAAATGAATTAGATTTCTTTTAAAAATCTACCCGAGAGAGTAGGAAAAAATTACTTTGCCACAATGAATTTCCTTCAGTTGACTGATTTGGTTTGTTTTTACGGTTTATCACCCCTTCTAACGTTATTTAAAGCCGAAACATATTTTTTGGATTGTAAGATTTTTTTTTCGGAGACAGAAATAATTTTATAATACAAGTCTATTTAACCCATAGCTAGGGAGAGGAAAGGTATCTTCATACTATTCCCAAAGTTACTTGCATGTAAGTGAATATAAAGAAGGCGACCGGAACCCGAACACGGCTCTCCGATTTCTCATTCCGAGTCGTTAACCATTACACCACCCGCACATCCGAGTTACACCATCAGGTATTCCCGAGCGGTCACCCATCTAGGTACTGACGAGTCTCAACGTTGCTTGACTTCGGTGATTATATGGGGACCGGTGATTCAACGTAATACGACCGTAAGCAAATACTTTGGAAACGGATGGGTAAAATGTCGAGTATTCGGACAGGATGTATTTCTCAAATTAATATTGAACAGCCGCGAAATAACTTTGTTTTGCATTCATTAAAAAAAAAAAAAAATCTTTGCTTTAATGTCAAAGTTGAAACAATTTATATGTTAATTTTAATTTATGCAACTTATTTTATTGAAGTTTTATTTTAAACAGGACTGATCAAACGGGGTCTGTCTGTGAAGTTTTCATTTAAACTCCCCCGAGAAAAAGAAATTCAACTTTATCCATTAATGGTTATCGGGCGCATACATAATTTCAATTGGTTTTCAAGCCCCCCTACACACACACACACACACACACTTCAGCGATCTCGTTGCTTGGCGTCCCTTTCGAACCTCTAAATGAGAAAGACAAGTTTACAAATTCACCTAATTAAAATTATTTGCCATTTTAGCCATATTTTTAATGCGCTATTTCCGGCTGTGGCAGATTGTGAATTCAAGCGACGTGCCTTTTTACTAAGTAATTTCAGCCATTGTGTTTTTCACTCCGATTCATACTCGCAAGTGGCCAGACGACTGGAGGATATTATTTTTTTTTTATTATTATTATTCAGACTCTATTTCTAGATAAACTGCCAGCAAAGACTAAATAGCTTGAGAACCTGTGATCATCTATTAGTACAACCAGCGAAGGTTTCTATACAATTTCGTCTACGCAGTTTTACTCACAACGCTTTGGTGGATTTCAAGCTATTCTAAACGGTCCCCGCAGTCTGATATTATGAAAAAGATGATTTGTTATTTCCTTCTAGTACGACCATCGACGTGTTCCGATCAGTTTTACCTCCCCATGATACGATTACATGTTTTTAAATCGTTTTACCCCAAGCAAGGCGATAATACCACTAAGACGCAGAGAAAGTGAAAGAGAATAAGACTGACAATGGGAAGGATTGAGGAAACGACAAAAAATAGTTTGGTTGTTTTACGGCATATCAACTTCAATGGGTTATTTAATACCAACAAGGTTTTTATTGCTGGTAAATTTTTTCCCAAAATGCATTGCTGTTAATAATTATTTTTCTTCAAAAAAAGTATCGCTGGAATTAAAACCAATGTTTACATTTTCATAGAGTTTTGACCTCAATTTGGGGGTAACTATTTGTCCATATCTGGGATGGTAACAGGTGCTACTACCCCGGGTCAGGGTAGACCTGGGAACACCAACAATTAAGAGGTGTTTCCACGCTCCTCAAAACCTCCTGATCAGAGGCCTTGCTGTCAGATGTAGTTCATCGTCTTAGACAGGACGGGGAAATGGAACAGGGTTCAAGAAAACAGATGACAATTGACGTTGCGTTTAAATTTTTAAAAGATTGTAGTTATTAGGGAAACAAGAAATGGAAAGGAATTTCCACAAGTGGAATGTGTGAGGAAAGAAACTGTTACAGTAGAAGTGGCGGTTGCATCTAGCTAAAAACAGTGAGACCTAATTGCCAATCTAGCAGCACTGATGTGCCTTAAGAGGATCGTAGGTTTCTCGCCCAAAAATTGTTATGGTCATTGATTTATTTATTTTCGAAAGAAATCCAAGGCACACTATTTACATTGTTCGGACTATTGTCCTCATAATTGTGGCATATTTATCACAACGTTTCAGTCGTTGTACGCTCCGGCCTTCTTCAACGGCCAAAACGTTGTGATAAATATGGCAACAAAGATGAAGACAATAGTCCGAATGTAAAAAGTGTACATAATACAACATATAAGAAATATAGACAGGATATATATATATATATATATATATATATATATATATAAATATATATAGGGCCGGATTATCATTTAGGTTAATATAGGCTGCAACCTAGGGCCGGATTATAATTTAGGCTAATACTGGCTGCAACCTAGGGCCGGATTATCATTTAGGCTAATATTGGCTGCAACCTTGGGCCGGATTATCATTTAGGATAATACTGGCTGCAACCTAGGGCCGAATTATTATTTAGGCTAATATTGGCTGCAACCTAGGGCCGGATTATCATTTAGGCTAATATTGGCTACAACCTAGGGCCAGATGATTATCATTTAGGCTAATACAGGCTGCAACCTAGGTCCGGGTTATCATTTAGACTAATATTGACTGCAACCTAGGGCCAGATTATAATTTAGGCTAATATTGGCTGCAACCTATGGCCGGATTATCATTTAGGCTAATATTGGCTGCAACCTAGGGCCGGATTATCATTTAGGCTAATATTGGCAGCAACCTAGGGCTGGATTATCATTTAGGCTAATATTGGCTGCAGCCTAGGGCTGGATTATCATTTAGGCTAATATTGGCTGCAACCTAGGGCCGGATTATCATTTAGGCTAATATAGGCTGCAACCTATGTCCGGATTATCATTTAGACTAATATTGGCTGCATAAAACGTCGGATTATCATTTAGGCTTTATTGACTGCAATAGGGAAAATTTAGGCTAATTATTTTTAGGGGCGGAATATATTTAATATATTGACTGCAATAGGGGGGATTATCATTTAGGCTAATATTGACAGCAGCGTTGCACCCTCAAGTTTTCAGAAAACATTGACTTCCAAACAAGATCATATCCATTTCTATATTTGGTTCATATATTTTAATGAATGATAATATATATATAATATATATATATATATATATATATATATTATATTATATATATATATATATATATATATATATATATATATATATATATATATATATATATATTATATTATATATATATATATATTATATTTATATATATATATATATATATATATATATATATATATATTATATATATATATATATATATATATATATATATATATGTATGTGTATATATATATATATATATATATATATATATATATATATATATTACCTTTTCGAACCGGTTTTCTAGTTAACATGACCAATTTAAAAATCCTTGTAAATTATCTTAATTTACAGGGTGATATGGTCATAACCGATATGTATTCTTAATTCCTACTGCATGTCATTTATATGCTCTGTTTAAATAAAACATTGACCGCTCTATGTGAATAAGTTTTAATATTCAATATTATATATAGGATTCACTTAGATTATATATCAACGGATCATTACCCATATATATGTATATCTAATATTTCTGTTTCTCATCGTCATATTTGTGCAAAGTGAGCTTTTCTCCAATAAACAATATTAAAGACAAAAATAGATCATAGCTTGGAAGATGTTGAAAACTTTGGTTTATAGCATGTATCGACATATTTCTGTCAATTTATGAAAAAATTATGCACAGCCAAATTTTGAAGTCACATATTTCAAAACTATAAAAAGTGCAGCTAAAACCGTTATTTTTTTTAAAATTTCGCGTGACGAATTCTTGACGACTGCGCATTGTGTCTACTTACAAGTGATAGTCCTTTCTTCTAGCTTTCCTTTACTACTCTCTCTAGTAGTTCCTGCAGTATAGGTATACTAGTTTTTGACTGAAAGAGCGTTGACAAACCAAATAGACAAAGAATTTAAGTAAAAGTTTTGCTAGATCAATTACGACTGAGTAGTGAGTTCGATCCTCACTGGATGCTCCATACATTTGGCCTTGTGCCATATCTAAGCTACGCTTAGAAAATCAAAGTATTTCTATCAAGGAAAAATTTATGGTCAGCTAAATTTTCAAAACTACAAAAAGTGCATATAAAACCTTTTTTTTTAAATTTCGGGTGACGAGGTCACGTCACATGTCCTGTAACTCATTATGGCCGTAGCGGCACCACATGTATTGCGGCTATGGTAGCAGTCGTGTATCAAGGTCATGATATCCTAAAAGCGCCCATCCTTCCTCCAGGCTGATTTTGAATTTAGAGCTATCCTTCTCGACTGGCTGGCACCTCAAGACAAGAAAGCCCAATCAGCTCTATTATTTAACCCATAGCCATGGGAAGAAAAGATGTGTTTATACCTTTCCTCGAGTGTACTTGTGCGATAGTGAACGCAGAGCGAATGTCCGGAATTTCACTTCTACAGTCTTTGCTCGATAACGACCTGTGATATTCAAAAGCCGTCGGCATTATTATTACACACAATTTCGGCAAGTTCCTTGACAAGTTAACGCCACCCAACCCTGGACATCAAATGACTTATTCCACAGTACGAGGGAGAAGTCAAAAATTATCCGGAATTCTAACATAGACATGTTACGGCGAAAGGGCGGATAATTTTTGCCTTAGCCTCGTGGAATAAATTCACGAAAAAACACAACAGTTCTCTCGAGCTCGTTGTATTTAATAAAATATTTTTAAACGAATGCTGAGTGGCTAAATATAACAGAAGTTTATATATACATACATATATATATATATATATATATATATATATATATATATATTTACTCTTCCTGACGACTTGCAGATGGCGAAGCTCTGGAAGAAACTTGGATTTTTGCGGTAAAAAGAAAACGTTGCGCGAATTCGTACACTGCTGCGTCTAACAGCATCTCTATGTCAGGGCGTTTGACCCTGGAAACGTTCATACCAAAAAAAAAAAAATGTGCCTAAAAGAAGAAAAAACACAAAAAGGTTGATTTCAGCGAATTCCACAATAATAATAATAATATCATCAAGGGCGCAGATATTCTGTTAGCCGAAAATGCAGATTCTTTGATAAATATCCAGAAACAATTAATCATCGTGTATAAGGTTGCAGGGTATTGGCATCCACTGAATATAAAACACAGCATGACAGAGTGGGCCAATATCTGCACTGGAAAATCTGCAACTTTTACGGGAAGGAAATTGAAAGTAATTCGTATGAACACCACCCAGACCTGATTACGAAGATAGGACCCGTAACAATTTTATGAGTTTGCACAATACACACAGGCAGAACAATCAAAGCTAATCGCCCAGACATTGTTATTAGAGACTGCAAAATGTGCCTCCTCATTGATATGGCAGTCCCTGCAGACTGCAATGTATCTTTGAAGAT